AACTACCGCTCCAGATTCCTCCTCAACCACCCCTCCGATTCCATTGGTCTCTCCGGCCTCCTTGTTCTACCGCAATCCTTCGGGTCGGCTCTTACCGCTTCCTCTCTCTTGATTCTGCTTATTTTCCCTTTCTCTCCAGGTTCCTCATTTTTCTTATTTTGTTTTTGTTAATAGGGCGATTTATTTGGGTGAGACATTTTGTAGTTATGTCAGCATCAACAACAGCTCTAGTTTTGAAGCTAGAGACATCGTTATAAAGGTTAGAATGCGTATTCAGAATCGCATCCCAAATGTGTCTCGAATGTGTTTGCATTCATGGAGCTCTAATTTGCTTCCCAAATGTATCTTGAATTGATGCAAAAGGTTAACAATTGGTTTGTTTATTTAGGCGGAAATTCAAACGGAGAGGCAGAGGATTCTCCTCTTGGATACATCAAAATCGCCAGTTGAATCGATACGTGCAGGGGGTCGTTATGATTTTATCGTGGAACATGATGTGAAGGAACTTGGAGCTCACACGTAAGTTGTATCTGCCCAGTTTGGTTGGAGACTAGACTCCTTTATGCTTCTACAACTGTTTCTTTCCAACTCAAACATGATGTTTTACTTTGCAATTTTAGGCTGGTGTGTACTGCATTGTACAATGATGGTGATGGTGAAAGAAAATATCTTCCGCAGGTTTTCAAGTTCATTGTTTCGAACCCACTATCAGTTCGAACAAAGGTACCATCTTTATTCCTTCTCTTAGATATTCATTTTTTTTTTTTTCCTGTGAAAGTAGAGCTTTGCCATTGTTATATTTTTCTTCCCTGGTTTTGTGTTCCAGACTAAATATAATACCTGTTCCTTTCTGTTGTGCAGGTCCGCGTTGTAAAGGTAGGTTGAGATTGACTAAATTACCCAAGTGTAAGTTTAGGAAAACTGGTTAAGCATGTGACTGTTTTTCAGGTTTTCTTTCAGATGATTATGGTTAAAATGCATACAAATGAGAGAGGCAATTTTCTAAGAGAAAGTTGTTGTAGCTGTTGTATGCAATACGTCTGTCGGAATCATAGTAGACCAATATAATAAGTTGTGTTGATATAAAAAAGTCTTTGCCAAAAATTTGCTTCTTTTACCTTGTTTTCCTTTACATTTCATATTTCTCAATGGTGCTCCATTGGCAAGTTCCTCTTATCTTAGTTATCTATCTGTTCACACTCACAACTTGCGAAGTTATTTCTATTCATAGATAAAAACATGAAAATCTCTTCTTTTGTTCTCCTGATTTGTATGTATGTGTATGAACATTAGCTTCTCTTATTCTTCTTTTTTTTTTTCCTTAGCGCTTTTATATTTGTTGGAAATGGAATCACAATCTGTTTGCTTGGTAGAAACCCATTTCTTATCATGTTGTCATCTGATTAACTCTGTCATTAATAATAAAAATTTTCAGCTCATTTTGTGCTTTTTGTCAATGTTGATTATAAACCTCCTGTGATGACTGCATTTTCTTTCTCAGGAAAATACATATTTAGAGGCTTGCATTGAAAATCATACAAAATCAAACCTTTACATGGATCAAGTTGACTTTGAACCATCCCAGCATTGGAGGATCTCCACAGTATTGAAAGCAGATAACCATCCTGCAGACCATGATTCAACCAGGCAAGTAGCAATATTTGTGATGCTAACATGTTGCAGATGTATAGCTCTAGTGTTTTAGGATTAAGAGATCATGTGCCCAATCTTTTTATAATTCTCAACTTTTATTTTCTCTAGTGTAGACATTAACGTTCCCTCTTTATTGATGATTATATGCTTGCAGAGAGATATTTAAGCCACCAATTCTTATCAGATCTGATGGGGGGATTTACAATTTTCTCTATCAGTTGAGATTCTTGTCACAGGATTCTGGACAACTCCAAGTTGAAGGAACTAATATTGTGGGTAAACTTCAAATAACATGGCGCACCAATCTCGGTGAACCTGGCCGCTTACAGACACAGCAAATTCTGGGCACTGTAAGTGTACATTCTTCAATTTCTATTAGTATTGTTTTGTTTATCCTGTAGTTACTTTCTGCCCAGATTCTAAGTATAATGCAATAATGCATTCCTATTTACTTTGGTAGCTTATGGCCTGCATGAATTAATGGCTCATTATTTTGCATTTTTCCTACAATGCTTTTTAAAGTATTCTGATTGCCTATGGTTGGCTTTTAAGCTTGGGAATCATAGTGCTAGAAAGCTCCATCAGTCAAAACTCCAATGTTCTATTGTTATGTGAATGTTTATAATTTATGAACGTGACATGCATATATACATGGAATTACGCTTAGTTTTTTGAAAAATATCTTTTTTCAGCCCATTTCACGCAAAGAAGTCGAATTGCAATTACTGGAAGTTCCATCCCTAATCAACTTGGACAGGCCCTTTTCGGTAACTCTTGCTTTTTCCATGTTTTTGCTTTATAATTTCACAAGCATGCTCTTTTTTGATGATTCTTATTCTTCCTGCCATCTGGCTTCATCTGTTATTGATTTCATCTTTTGCTTCTTATTCTTGATGTATTCTATTTCTTTCCAGGTACACTTGAATCTTATAAACCATACTGATAGGGAGCTGGGCCCCTTTGAGGTTTGCTTACCAGAAAATAATTCACACGAGGAGAAGGTTGTTATGATTAATGGTCTTCAGACAATGGTAATTTCAGTAACTGACTTTGTGACATTGTCCTTGCCATTCTATATTTCTATGCACATTGTGTTCAAGCATTTTCTGGCAGCACAAAGTTTAGTAATCGCCAAACATTTCAGTCATCATTCTAGATGTATTTTCTAGAAGTTAGTTTCCCTTTTAAATAATATTTAAGAAAAACAGTTTACTGCCACACTTGTTATAATAATTTGACTCTTATTTACAGGCATTACCACAGTTGGAGGCATCTGGTTCCACAGATTTCCATCTGGTATGAAGAATATCTCTAAGACTTTATCTTATGCCTTCTAGAGTGGTTCATTTCGAGATGTGTAGCTTAAACTTGAATTTGGGTTTCCTTGAAGTAAAATGACTTTGGATAATAGTAAACATGACGTATTTAATGTGTTTGTGAAATATAAACACATGATGTATGAATATTTTATATGCATTTGGTATTGATTTATCCTATTTCTCCTCCCATAGGCAAATTGTTGAACGAGTGGGACTCCATCTCCAACTTGTAGTGAAGCTTTATATATGTGTGTGTGCTTGTGTTTCTGCTCTACTGACAATTTGACTCTTTCTACTTTTGCTCTACGTTTGCATATACAGAACTTAATTGCCACAAAACTTGGAGTCCAGAGAATCACTGGTATTACAGTATTTGAAACGAAAGAGAAGAGAACTTATGACCCATTGCCAGATTTGGAGGTTTGTGTCTGCATTAGGCCATTCTGTTCTATGTAGATAACTAGAAACTTGAATGCTGTGTTTAAATCTCTAGAATCAGGTTGCTGTTACTCTGGCCATAATGGTATCCTGTCCATAGCCCTTAGTGGATGGATACTTGTATGGCAATTCAGGAAGTTAATTATGGTTGATTAACAACATAGTTAGGTTAATTTCCCCTTTGTTTGTGAATGTAGGTTTTTAACCACATAATATATGTCAGATTTTTTGGTTCTGATGAATGTTTTGATTCTCTTGTAGATTTTTGTGGCTATGGATTGATTTACGAGCTAATTCAGCTTGCAGAGGCTAGTTATTAGCCTATGTTTTGGAGGATGAATCAACTGAGCATTGTCATATTTGTATACGACATATGGGACCTTACATATGACTCTGTAAAATAAAACAAAAGGTTGCCGTACAGAAGTTGTTTTTATTTTTATGCTGCTTACACTTGTTGCAATTCTTTTGACATTTGTTTCATTGTAAGTGAATTTAGGAGGACTGAGAAGATATTATACAAAATTCAAGGCCTGAAACTAAAATGGCAGAGGAAAATAAACCAGATGACATAAAAGAGATGAAAAGATAGAAAGCTTCAATAGGAATTGTTGTTCTTTCCCATTTGCATTGGCATTGATCAAATTCAATTTAAATTCTAAACATAAACTGAACAGAAACCCATAAAAAGAAAAGATAATGCACACAACCCAGTGAGGGATAAACAAGTTGAAATTGGATACTACAGCGCCCAGTTGGCTTCACTGCCAACACGGGGCATGCTGCTCCTCCTAGAATGAACATCAACACTAAAATCAGCTCCACACATCATCCCCTCGCTATCAATCCTAGGCATCGCCTTCATCTCCCTGCTTGGATGCTCGAAACTCACCAATCCTTTCTCGCTGTGGAACATACAACCTACCCCAAAAAAACACATACATATTTAGTAAAAACAATTTAGTTATGAGATACATGTTTTTCATGTCGGGCTTGAAAATTCCCTTACCAGGTGGAAATGGTGCAAATGATTTAGCACAGCTTTCTTTCACCACCTCCAATTTATCAGTAACAACCAGAGATCCATCTGCTGCAATTCCCCAGAAAAGCCCCACACCTCCATTTTCATTTGTACCCTACACTCCAACACCAAAGATTAATTAGCCCAAAAAAAACCCAAAAAATAAAAACTTTTGATCTTAATCCCAAATCAAACATTCCAAGCTCCTTTTTTTTTTTCTTTTTTCTTAGAGATTTGGATGCAGGGGGACTTTACCAATGCAGCGAAGACAGTTCCAGCCTTGCTATCATAGACCACAAATCCAAAGCTACCGTCGAGATCCTTGAGGACCTGATGGGCTGGATACGGACCACGGTCTCGCAGGGTCCTGTATGCCTCAATGACAAACATTGCCTCGTTAGTGCCTTTGGACAAACCATACTGCTTGTTCAGGCTGCACAGATTGTACAAATTCCCCAAGAAAACGCAATGTATTTCATCCACTGCACAAAACAACCTGCACCAACAAAGTTTTCTCCCTCCATTACCTAACGATTGCCAACACAAAATCACTAAGAATTAATGATATTAAGATATATACCTTTTTGGAGAAGAGTAAGGATTCTGTGGTGGAACATAAGCAATGGAACCCGCAGAGGCACCGAGGGTGATTGAGAAAGCATTTTTTGGATTCAAAGAAAGAAAATCCTTAACGATTTCCTCCGGTAGCTTTGGTTTCTTTGATGAAACCATGGAAGCCGGACTATGAAGCTCCTGAGGAGGATTCACCAACCCTTTGTTGAAAACACCCAACATTTTTTTTTCTTCTATATATCTTTTCTTTCAAACTTTTCTCGCCTTCCAAACAGAATACGTGAAAGTAGCTTGAAGTGAAACACAATGGTAGGTGTTGCGTAGGGGAAAGATGGGTATATATAGAAAGCGGGGGCCAGAGTGGAGTGACGTGTAAACATTATCCAACCTTAAATGGATTTATTCTTAAAAAAAAAGACGCGTCGGAGAGACTTTTAGGTGTCAGTATTTATTAATATTTTATCTAAAAATAATAATTGATATATATTTTGATTTAATGTATTTTATAATTATATTTATTAAAAAATTATTATTTTTAAATATAAA